CATACCTTAAGGGTGGCTACAAGATTTAAATCAAGTTACGTTTTCCAATTGGCCGTAATATTAAAAAAAAAACAAAGTTGTTTCAAAGTAACGTGCTGTAAATTACTTTATTTTCATTCAAGGAACATACTCCTGAATCCATTCAGTTTCATACACCCTGTATATTAAAATAAATACTTTTATGACGTTGGGACAGTTAATTCCGTTTTTCTCAAAGACAGACGGTGCGATTTTAACAAGAGTACTGAAATTTTTATGTAAAATTAAATTTTACGTTATGACAGGAATATTTAAAAAAATTTGCTTCGAAATTATCTTTACTAAGTTTGATTGCAATATACGTATTGCTTTTGAATAAGATGTGGCAAAAATGTTTTAAAAACCGTATTTACCATGTTTTTGATATAGTTTAATTTTACATGTAGGTACAACTGTTTCAAATATTGAACAAACATAATGTTACTAAGCAGCAAGTTACTGTTTAAAAAATAATAATAATAATTTCTGAGTATATAAAAATGTCACGAGTTTTACTTTTATGTAACACGAAATATATTAATCCAGGTTATACAGCCCCCTTATTAAACGAAATCAATTAGAAACATAACAAAGAAAGCACCCTGTATCCCAAAAACAGAAGTCTTCTATGGTCCAGAGGAAGAAATAATATTATTTTTTTGATCTTCCATAACCCCTTTATTTCTTGCATTCTTTTTCTCAACATCCTGTATATTTCAGTCATGGGAATTCCAATATTACTTGTTTGTATCTCTAAAAGTGACGTAACTATGACTGATTTACTAAAGGCATGAATGGTTGTATTAAAGTTTTTTCACCTTGAGGTTTTGTATCTGCGGTACTTGTTAACAACAAAACAAATTACACATTCAATTGTTTTTAAGCGAATTAATGGTTTCTTAACTTATTTCTAGAGTGACTGTTATATTTGTTATTGCCGACTCACAAGTGAACAAGTACATATTTTAAGCAGAGAAAGATTTTTAAATTGCTAACATCAATTTTAATTTATTTATTCCGATTTTGATGGGTACAATTTGAAAAATTCAAAATAATTAGTCGCTTGTAAAGTTTAGATTATACAAAAACGCAGAATTAATTCTTCTAAAATTTGAATTACCTGCTAATTATACAGATTCACAACAATAAAAAATATTGAAACTTAAGAAAAGCAAGAATATCCACTAGTAAATATTAAAAAGTTGTTCCAAAATATGTATGTGCTGATAGTTCATCAATTTCACCCACTTCACTTAACGAGAAAAATATTATCAAACATAGAAAAATATGTTCAAAATCGTGAAGAACAGCAACAAACTAAAAAAATTAGTAAAGGTTCTATAAAAAAATGCAATTACAAAATGTACATTGATATCACAAGATATATGCATATTCTAACTGACGCCTTTTGCTGTTTTTCGGTCCATCTGCTCACAAAAAATGTTATGAATATTACATCCAATTTTTATCTAACTCTGTATACATGTTTGTTAGAAATTTAACAGGCTCTGATGAAAAAAAAATGTAATAATTACGTCGCTAATCACACTTTTATATGTATTTATATTAATAATTACATAAACATATCCATAGAAAAATAAATTAAAAAGTTAAATCTTGTACTGTCATTAGCAACAACAAACGTTTATGTACCTTGTTATTTTGTTTAATCGAAAATTTTTAAATACTCAATAAATCGAGACGAACAACCCTCAACCTGAAAATGTTGCCGGACATAGATTAGACAAGGGATCAACTCTTCGACATTCAAGCTACTAGAAGCATCGGGTGTTCCAAAATTGATGCAAGATTTGAATTTTGTTCCATTTTTGCGGTAAAGTAATTAGAGAGAATTATTTGTGAAGAGCTGATTAAATTTTTACTTAAAAATGATATCGTACCTCAACACCAACATGGATTTCTCTCCTGTCGTTCGGTTGTGTCGAATTTACTGCAAGCTATTAATTCCAGGACTTTATGTTGAGAAATGGACATCCCCTAGATGTCCTATTCATAGATTTTTCTCGAGCCTGTAATAAAGTGCCGCTCTCCCGTCTGTTGAATAAACTGAACCATTTCGGTGTCCGTGGCAAACTATTTAAACTGGATCAAGTTAGTTCTAGAAGATCGCCAATTTACGGTTCGTGTTGCTGACAGTTTCTCCGAAAACCTGAGGGTATTAAGCGGTTTGCCGCAGGGTTCAGTCCTTGGACCATTAATTTTATTTCTGATATACGTGCTTGACCTTACCAATGCACGTCTGAAGTGTTATCTTATGCAGATGACCTTAAAATGATTTTCTCACCTTATTCGCTTCTACAAAATAATCTTGATATGATTATGAATTGGTATTCTGGATGTTGTTGCCTCTTAATTCCGAAAAGTGCTGTGTACTACACATGTTCAAAACCAATGCTAGATTAGTATAACATTAATGGAATCGATCTACCGAGTGTAGCACATCAAAATGATCTCGGAGTTGTTATAACAGAATCTCTTTCTTGGAGTGCACGTGTTACTAAAGTTGTGAAAAAGTGCAATCAATTAATTTTCACAATTAAAAAATCTTTCTGTGATATCACCATCGCCATCAGCATGTTTTTCAAGTTATATAAATTCTATATTCGCCCTCAGATAGAATTTGCTGTAGCCATATGGTCTCCATTATTAAAGCAGGACATTGTAAGATTGGAAGGTGTTCATAGGCGTGCTACAAAACTCCCAGTCGGTTTTAAATAGGCTTGTTTTGATTCTGTCAGCGGACATGCCTAGAACAGTTCAAAATAGTTACCCAACTGTATTCTCAGTATGTCTTGACTTAGATGTTCTTATGAATGGAATGGTCAACTAATTTGAACCGCCCTAGAACCGTTCTCTGTCTCAACCAAAACAAAGCTAATACCTTACATATGAAGAACGTCTTATGCGCCTCCGTCTTCAATCATTGGTAGTGCGACGTACTCGCGGTGACCTCATAACAACTTACAGAGTACCTAATGGTGAATTAAACTGCCCAGAAACAATGTTTCAACTAAACAATGATTCTCGTCTTAGAGGTAACTCCTTCAAATTTAAGGAAGAAAATTTTCACACCTGCAACAGGCATCATTTTTTACCCAACAGAATTTTCGACCTGTGGAACTCCCTACCCGATTATGTGGTTTTGGCACGTTCTCCTAATTCTTTCAAGAACGGACTTGATGACCACCTTAATCAACAAACTGGATGATGTTTTTTGGAAATATACATGCATTTATAATTATTTTACTTTGTTTGTAATTGTTGAAAAATTCAGTCCTTCAACTAGTCGTTCAACACAAAACATCGTGAGAATGTTGCTGAGACTCCAGGAACATCAATTCGGCACCGTGGTCAAGAATTGGACATTTCGAGAAGATCTCTACAGCCGTATTCTCATGAAAAATTTACATCTTCATGCTTACAAAGTGCAAGTGAGTCAAGAACTGAAGCTTACTGACTACGCAGAGCGAAAAGAGTTCATTGACTAGACTATCGAATAACAAGTGGATGCTGATTTTTCGAACAAAATAATTTTTAGCGATGAGGCTCATTTTCATCTTGATGCTTCGTTAATTGATAAAAATGTCGCATTTGGGGTTTAGAAAATCCACGAGCGATTGTTGAGAAACAAATGCATCCACAACGTGTCACTGTTTGGTGCGGATTTTGGACTGGAGGCATCATCGGACCATACTTCTTCGAAAATACGTCTGGTTAAGCAATAACAGTTAATGATGATCCAGTTTTTTGTCCCTAAATTGCTAGATATGGATATAGAGGACATGTGGTTTCAACACCGTTAGACTTTTTTCTTTGGGATTTTTAATTTGTAAGATTTGTGCCAAGAAACCCTCAACTACCCACGAGGAAATTGAGAGCTGTATCAATGAAATTCAGCCGCATTTATTCAAGACGGTCATGGAAAATGTCGACAAAAGAGTGTGCAAGAAAAGCCCTGGAGAACTTTTATAATTTTTAATTAAAAATCTATGTTTTCTTTCAAAATTACTTCTTGTGCGAATTTTGCAACACCCTTTATTAACCACGATTAGTGTGGTTTTTGACTTTGACTTTTCATATAAATGACGTAATTGACAAATCGCTAGGTCGCGCTCGTATATGAAGTTAAACCTTTAAATGTTTCAAAATAGTAAAGGAAGTCAAGTCATACTTTTTTCAAAAAAATGTCTATTCAGTGACATAAAAAATTTAAATTTGGGTGAAGGATTATCGAGAAACTTACCTTAAGTAACGAATGTCTCTAAATAATATAGGTATATGGTTACCAGAATCAATAAATTTTAATCTCAATTATTTATTTTTATGACACAAATATATTGTCGCATTATGACAAGGCACTGCTTATAAATATGCATCTAAAGAACAAAGAGGAATTGATTTTCGCCAAAAAGTTAAACTATTAACCAATTAACCAAATAAGTATCTTATATTTGGTTAATTCAAGGAATAACACAATTAAAGTACCTAGTTGTTTTTAACTAATGATTTTTTTTGGGAAGCAGCAACTCTGCAGTCAGACTAAAGTGTCATACATATTAGTATACAATAGATATCAACTAGCAGTAACAATTAAGATACACTTTGTAGGCCTCACCCATAATAAAGTACCTACATTTATATTTAATATTTCAAAACACAAGCACAATGCCACTGAATTTCTCGAAATTGATTTGATTTATTGAAATTAAAATAAATCTTTTAGTTTTTTTCATATCTAAATATCAATATTTAAAAGAAAATTCTGAATTAAAGATAGAAAATAGAAATATTGGGGATGAAATAATGACAATTTACCCTCACAAAACTACCCGCAAGGCGTGGAATTTAAATAATGTTCCACTGTCCCCATTCAAAAGGGTATATTCCTATTTCTATTTCTCCAATAACGTTTATATGTATAAAAAGTAGCCTTAATTTGTGTTCTTTTTTGTTTCAGAACCATGACGACCCAAGCCGATCAGAGCTCTAAGCGCCTGAATTTGGAGAAGGCGACGAATTTCATGAGGCAGTACAGAGACCCCGACTCGAGAGAGTTGAAAAAACTTTCCGCAAACCAATTCATGGAAGTTTGGAGCCACTATGACAAAGACGGTGAGAGTTACATTGATCTCAATTTAATACTTTCAGGTGAAGAATCGATGGCGAACGTTTGACAGTTTAATTCTTGGCGTGTAGAGAATGGGAGCTTTCCAACTTTGCATCGGGTATAAGTTTGGAACTTAAAACGTTGAAGTTTTTAACAAATTACGTGTCGGATAAAAGTCTCCGCCTTTTTATCTAAAGTCGTTTACTAGAGCGAATTGCACATCCGCAAATACAAATGTCCGTATAGCTGTTTAAGAATATCAATTTCTTTATCAGATTTATTACGAAGCGCTTTTGTAAAAAAAAATGAACGGCAATGAGGAAATGTCATTTTAAGCAAAAAGTTTCCTATCAATTGATGTCCGATGTCAAAGACACATTTTTTTAAATAATAACAAAACGTTGTAAGTGATGGTATTGCAGGACACAACAACTCTCTCTACAAGCTATATGCCCCGACTGGCATTGGACCGGCAATATCACTATATACAGCTAGAATCATTCGTCGGCCAATCACACCAGACATATACCGCTTTCAGACTTGTTAATCCTTAGCTAGTAGCAGTGACCACTAGATGTAGCAGTTACATCTTTTACTTGCAGTCCAAAATGGTTGTTCAGATACAAATGAAATTCGATAAGTGTATTTAGATTATCTGCAATAGTCTTAAGAATCTTAATTGAAGTTTTTTATACATAAAAATATTTTCTGTGAAATATTTGATAAAATCATAAAAAAGTGTAGACATAAAGGTTTGTCATTGTTCATTGTGAATAAATAATTAATATTGGTGACGCCAAAATTTAGGAATTTTTCTTTATCAATACCAACCCTGAATGTTGGTTACGTAAATTGGGCAATCACGTGGCTTGTAAACATTTATGAACGCTCTGTATATTCTTTCACATATAGAGTGTGTCCACGAATGGAGTTCCTTCCTTCTTCCACTTTGGTTATTTTACGTCGTCGGTCTGTTCATGCTACACGATTAAAAACCGACATCAGGGAAAAGTGCAACTACCAACCTGAAAATTTTGTCGAACTCCCAGTTTGTCGTACAGTAACGATCTTTTACTTGCCTAACATTGTGTAAATAAGGGACCAACGATTTTACATCCTTTTCGATGGATGATACGTCTTCCTATATAAATCTCCCACAAATTTGTATAACTTATGTGAATACACCAACGCGCAGTCCACTAAAAGGTGGACAAACATCCCAAGCATTCCTTGTAAAGTCACATATATCCGTACGAGTGAAGGATATAGATGCAAAACTCACATTATCCACTTTTTAAATTTTTTCAGCAAGAAGGAATAACTGATTTCTCACTTTTTAAGTGGCTTAAGGCTCTGAATTTTTATTTGGTATTGTATTAGAACTTTAACTTTGCTTCTTAATTGGTGAAATGACAGCACAACAATATTTGACTCCAAGAAAGTGAATAAGTTTGGAAAATGTGAGTTTTGATACAACTTTTTGGATAATGGTAGTTTTGCTCCAAAATATTCTACATAATATTATTTTTTACACCAAAATTCATGAAGTTAAAGGAACTTTGAAACAAACTCAATATCAATCAAACTTTTATGTAATATAGTAGTTCAAAATCAAAATAAAAAGCTGCACAAAATACTTAGAATACGGTTTTATTATCAGTTATGAAGTGAAATATTTTTATAACGAATCTAAAATTGCAAAGTACAAAAAGTGTTGACAGTAAAAAGTTCTAATATCCGATATTTAAAGATGAAACTTCAAAACTAAACTTATCTTACTTATAATCAGAAACTCATAGAAAAACACGGAACCAACCATCTAGGAAAGCAAAACAATACAATGAATAAAATGAAATTAAAGAACTTTATTATCAATTTATTATAATTAGTAACATTTCTTCTCATGTTAATGGGTATGCAGGGTGTATTTTAATTCCGTATAATAACTTCAGGTATGTTTCTTGGATGATTTTAAGCCAAAATGTTTTAATAAAGCAGAGATCTAATATCACCCCCTTCCGAAATACAGGATACTGAAAGCACACTAAAGACGTTTTACGTAAATTGATGAAACTTAAGATAGATAGATATTTTAGATAGATATTTTATTTGACCACTCTTTACATACATCCGTACAAATGTGGTATGCCAATTTTCAGTTAAAATTTGAACTGTACAGTTGATAATATTATAAAAAAAAGTACAATGTATAAATCATTAAACACAGCGTTAAAATAATTTAACAAAATTCACACAGAACATAAAATTATTAGATTAATTAATAATTAATTATATTATTAATTATTAGAAGTTAAATAATAGTTGTATCCTCAAAATATTCCCTTAGCGAATAGAAGGCTTTATTTGTAATATAACTTTTTATTTTATTTTTAAACGTTATAAATTGTAACGATCTAGTTATTGGGCTTAGTTTATTACACATATTTAAATTTAGAAAATTTTTTTTGGATTTTGTTAATTTAAATTTAGGGGGTCTCAAAAAATTTGCTTTCCTTGTATTGTAGCTATGAATGTCACCCTGTACACTAAAATCTTTCCTATTACTATGTATGTCTAAAAGACTCTGATAAATAAATAAAGAAGGCAAGGGCATTATACTAAATTTTAAAAAAAGAGGGCGACAGTGATCGCGGTGATTAGCCATGGCTAAAATACGAATTATTTTCTTTTGTTGACGAAAAACTTTTCCGGCCGCACTGGAATTACCCCACAAAACGACAGCGTATGAAATGCGTGAATGAAATAAACTAAAATAGATACCACGTAAGATATCACTATTTACGAGCATACGTAACTGTCTAAATAAAAATATTATACTTGACAACTTTACACAGAGGTTATTTACATGATCTTTCCAGGATAAACCTGAATCAATATCCACTCCCAATACATGCAATGAACTATTATTATTATGTTTGGTCATTTTATTAGACAAAAACAATTTCTGAGTTTTTTCTGGGTTGATGGTTAAATTATTTGCAGAAAACCAATTTTTTGCCATCTCATCAGTAACCGACACAGAGTCCATCAGGGATTCTAAACTGTCATTTGTATTAAACAGAGTTGTATCATCAGCAAAGATAATACATTTTTTTGGCGACATAAAATGTATAAAATCATTGACATAAATTAAAAATAAAAGTGGTCCTAGTACGGAACCCTGAGGTACTCCATATCGAACTAATTGAATGCTAGAATTACCATCATTAATTGAAACAAATTGTTTACGATTATTTAAATATGATTTCAGTAACAAAGCTGGTAGGCCCCTTACCCCATAATATTCCAAATTTTTAATTAATATATCGTGTGAAACACAGTCGAATGCCTTGGTTAGATCACAAGCTATAATAGCACAATGTAATCCTTCCTCACGTCCTTCAACAATAAATTTCGTTAGGTTGGAGAGAGCATGGGTAGTAGAGAGGCCACTTCTAAAACCAAATTGACATGCATTTAACAAAAGATTACTTTCAAAAAAAACTAGTAAGTCTTTGCTTTAGAATAATTTCTAAAATTTTTCAAAAAACGGGTATGATAGAGATGGGACGATAATTATCTACTTTATCACCTTTCTTAAATAAAGGCACCACTCGTGCAATTTTAAAAATGTCAGGAAAAGTGCCCGTACAAAAACATATGTTAATTAATGATGTAAGTGGTTGCAATAATATATCAGCTGTAGTTTTTACAATTTTACTGTTTATGTCAAATACATCCAGACTGTGAGAATTTTTTAACATACTAATAGCCTCATTTACTTCAAGGGGAATAACGGGATGTATGTAAATAAAAACTATTTTTAGATGCAAGAGTACCCTTAAGAAAAACTTCGGCATCTCCTTTACTTACAATAGAGTTAATTAGAGATTCGGCAATATCGCAAAAATATTTATTATAATCATCAGGAGATAAGCTACTTTTGGGCTTATTTAAATTATAATGCTTATTTCTTTCAAAATTTACCAACCTCCATCCGTCTCTATTTATATTTGTTGATGTACTGATAAATTCACGCTTTTTGTTTAGTATTTAAGATAAGCTTTTTATAATTTCTACGAAAATTTTTATAAAACAACCAATCAGCTGGATTTTTTGAAATGTTACAAACAAGTTTAACAGCCATAAGAGTGTCTCTCGTACTCCTTAGAGTATCATTAAACCAAGTTACTGCTGACTATTGTAAGTATTAACCTATGAATTAGCCAAAAAGTTTACCTGTTTCGAGGGATATTCAAAGATACTCCAGTCTTTCTCCATCAAAGATATTCTAAAATATCTCAAACCAGCCTAGGTGATTATCCTTTTTTCCATTGTATAATTTGGAGTTGTTTCCAATTTGTTATTGAAAGTTATAAATTGACCTAAGTGGTCGGAAAGACAAGGGTCGCATACCCCAGATATAGTATCATCGTTATTTAAATTAGTAATAATATTATCAATGCACGTCCTGGATGTAGGCGTAATTCTTGTGTAGTCAGAAATTAAAAATCTCAAACCAAATGCAGAAATCAAACACAATAACTCTGTTAAGTTATCCGAGCTATTATTAAAATCAATATTAGAGTCACCCATAATAATTATATTTTTGTCTTTTAATGCATATTTACTTAAAAGCAATTCCAGTTTAGCCAGAAAAATTCCAAAATTGCCCTTACCCGTACGATAAAAACTAAAAATCAAAATTTTACTAGATATTAATTCTACTCCACAAAATTCAAAATTTATCTCAATGTTAAAATCGTCTAAATTCAGAGACTTATAAGATATTCGGTTAACTAATTAAAGATAAAAATTCGCTGAACACAAATATGTCAATCAGTGGCGGAAGTACTGAGAAGCACTCATTGAAAACTTCAGAATCTCTGTGCCATTTAGTTTTTTGGAAATTTGTTGGATGCATCTGAATGCTCAATGAAATATGAGTCATTTTCAGGTTAATATTTTCTCAAATTTAAAATATACCTATTATACAGTGACGTATAAATTCCATAACGGCACTCGTTGAATATCTGTATGTCAGTTCAAAATTTTTAATTAGTTTAAACACTAGTCAAGGTTTCATCAATCTACGGTCAAGTATCTTCAGAGATATTTGAAAATATGTGAAAACTTTCAAATTTCAACGCCCTGTATCTCTGAAAAAGTGGCTTTAGTCTTTCAGTTTTCATAAAGATTTTATGACCTAGAAGGATTCAAAAAGCAAGTTCTTAAAGTTATGACAAGGATTTAAAAAAATTTGAAACCAAACTCTACTTTTCCGAAAATGGTACATTTTAGCGGTATCTGACTTTTCTTCATCTGATATTTCTTCAAAAATGTCTTATTTTAATGAAAACGGAATTGACATTATTTTAGGTAGAAGAGTCCTCGGTTATTTCCTACATCTCCGCCACTGAGAGCATAACCGACAAAAAAATATTTCTTAATGAAACTTACAATCGATAATCCAAAAACTTGCACCGCGTTCCATTTAAATCTAAGCATACTGAAGAAGTAGGAGAACAAATTAACGACGTAATGGACATAAACCAAAATGAAGACGTAGAAAAAGCACCTAGCCTAGAAGAAATAAAAGCAATAATAACAAATCTAAAAAATGAAAAGTGTCCGAGTGAGGATGAAATTACTGCAGAAATGATTAAGTATGGTGGTGAACAGTTAATTAAAAATATAAAAAAAATACTAAAAAAAAAAAGGAAAAAAAAAAAAATACCTACAAAATGGAAAATATACCGACAAAATGGATATATTGCAACCAATTTTTAAAAAAGGAGATAGGAAGGATTGTCAAAATTATAGTGGTATAGCTCTTCTTAATGTAATATACAGGGTGATTCAGAACTTATCCAAAAAAATTCTGGATGTACAGGGGACCCTTACAAATACAATTTTGTAAAGAAAAAATCAAAATGGTCAGTTCGAAATTGATTTAAAAATACACTTCTGCACGGCACTGGAAACTGGTCCACTGTAAAACCTGACCTCGCACAATGCCACCGCTATGGCGGCGTGATAAAAACGGACAAAAACTTTCACAAGGAAAGAAATATGTAAATAGAATTTTATCGCACCTATTTTTGTATACCGCAAATTCAAATGCTTTTGCCTTTATTAATTATTAATAAAATTAATTTGTGTTTTTAAATAATAAAGTACATACCCGATGCTGCAACAGCAATTGTTCAAAATTTTATCCACTCACGTGTAAACACATTTGGGTCCGTCTTACTCACTTTCTACGAACTAACACAAATGATGTCTTGTTTCACCATAACACAAACGCTTCACCATAAATTAAAACGATATCCATCAACTCCGAGTACACGCAAACCATTTTTGACACTAACTACCCATTTGACACCAACTACTAAAAACGTATTATAAAAACCACAGATAACAGGTAAATATCGCAACGACGATTGCAAAATCCGAATTCAGTATTCGGAGTCGATGAGGCCACGTGGCGAATGATGCTAGAGACTACAGTTGTCCAGCTATGTAGTGGTTTAATGTGCTATAACTTCAATAATTTTTTTCTCAGAAACTATAAGGATTTTACAAAATTTTTTTTTACAATATTAACTTCATTTCTCATGCCGCATCTATTCCCAAATTTTTTTGGATAAGTTGTGAATTACCCTATATAAGATTCTGACGCCTCATATTAAGAACAGACTAGCTGAGAAGATTGAAAATGAAATCGGAGAATGCCAATGTGGATTCAGAGGAGGAAGATCGGTAATCGATCAAATATTTACACTAAGGGAGGTACAGGCAGAGAGCGACGAACATCAGAAGGAAACATATCTAGTCTTTATCGATTTTAAACAAGCATATGATAAGAGTCAGAAGAGGTCAATTATATAAAGCACTAAGTGAAATGAATGTAAGCCCTAAAATAATTAGTTTGATAAAATTGACGTTAACACAAACAGAAAACAATGTCAGAATACACGGAAAGTTTTCGGAAAGATTTGAAGTAACAGAAGACCTTAGACAAGGTGATCCATTATCACTGTTCTTGTTCAATATAGTATTAAAGAAATATTCAGAGAAGCAAACATAAACAGATCTGGCCTAATATACCATAAACGACATCAGTGTCTGGCGTTTGCAGATGATATTGCACTATTAACAAGAAGTAAAAAAGAGATAACAGAAACATCAACAAGAGAATGGTAAGTTCAGCAGAAAGGATGGGATTAGTAATCAACCAAACTAAAACGAAAGGTATGGTTTGGTCGGACAGAATTTGTAAGGAAATCAAATATTAAGAATAACAACAGATGAAGGAAAAGTATACACAATTGAAGAGGTTGAAAAATTATCATACTTAGGAACGACATGTCTAGTACCGAGTACCGAGTTTTGAAGAAGAGTTGATGAACAGATTAATAGTAGGAAATCATTGTGTTGGGGCTCTTAATATATTAAATATTAAGAAATAAAGGTATATCAAGAGGTCTCAAAATTAGATTATACAAAAATGTTATAAGGCCAGTACTGATCTTTGGATGTGAAGTATGGACACTGACATTGGCAGAACAGAATTGGTTAAGGATATGGGAAAGAAAAATATTTAGGAAGATATTCAGAGGAAAAAAATTAGAAGATGTATGGGAAAGAAGAACAAATAGTGAGTTAGCACACCTATTTAATGAACCTGATAATATAGGAGTAATAAAAGACCAAAGACTTAGATGGATGGGTCATATAATGAGAATGCAGTGACAGAACTCCACACAGAATAATAGAAGGCGATATTGGAGGAAGAAGGACACGTGGAAGACCAAAAATTAGATGGAAAAATGAGGTGAAAAGGGACATAGAAAAAGCAGACATCACTCAGTGGAAGCAGAGAACTGGAAACAAGAAGGAATGGAGAAAAATTGTGAAGCAAGCCATGGGCCTACTAGGTCTACAGAGCTGAAAAAAAGACATTTTGTATTTATTCAAGAAAAATATATTTTTTGGTAGTGCGCCCTGTTTCCATTTTTTTACTAAGCATTTTTTAACTCACGTTTATATGAACTTTTCTTTAAAGTGGCATTTCCTCTATCTCCTGTTTCAGTTTGGTACAGTATTTCAGAAACGCTCTGTATTTTATAATTTTTTCTTAACCTTTAAATTTTAATGACATAATAAGAGGCATGAAGTACATGTAACAAAATCGATTAAAGATTAGTACAGATATGTGCATTAAAAAAAATTAATGAAAAGTATACCTGACAATCAGAAAATCCGCATGAACAAAAAAATGCTTTATCTATATAAAAAAGTTTAATTCCTCTTGCCTTGCATATAGAAAGACTTTATAGGCATTAAAATAATTATTACAATATAGTAGGTCAACACATACATATGAGTCAAAAAAATAACTACAGTTTTTGTTTGAAATTAGTTTTATGCCTCAGAACTATTAAATGAAAGTATGAAGATATGAATGTAAAATCTCAAGCCAATTATAAGAAATTACCTGTTGAATAAATTCTTGGAAATATTTCTGATGCAGAAAATATTAGAAATGTACCTGCAGCATGAGCTAAGATACCCACAGGCTACATTATTCCATATTTTGTTTTAAATATTTTAACTAGTGTTTCTTAATTGTTTATAATGATTGATACCACTAACTGTCTAATTTTGTGTTTTTAAATATATTTAATTAAATGGTGGTTTGTAATAAAAAATTATAGTCAAGAAACCAACAGCTGAAATCTAATTTAGGCAACCAACAATTCACCAGTGTATAATGCTCCAATGTGTCTACATTACATTTCCAAGAATTAGACAGTTCTCCAATAGCCGTGATCGTCTAGTGGTTAGGACCCTACGTTGTGGCCGTAGTAACCCAGGTTCGAATCCTGGTCACGGCAATGTGCAAACATTGTCACGGTCGAGATTTTTTTTAAACTTTTTTGCTCTGGAATTTTACATCTTATTAAAACAAAATTACGTATTTTGTCCAAAGCAACAAATAGAATATGTAAGAAGTTGATCTATATAAAATAGTGATAGTTTCTAATATTACTTTATATTACGAACAAAACAAAACTAAATTTAAAAAACTTTTAATTGGATATTTTCATGATTATACATTATTTTACAGGAAATGGATATATTGAAGGAACAGAATTGGATGGATTTTTAAGAGAATTTGTATCTAGTGCCAATGCCACAGACATAGGTCCAGAGGTAAGCAAGACTACCCTTGTAGTAATAAATTAATAATAATGTAATTAATAGTAAGTAAATAATTATTCTACTATTTCCTGTTTATAATAAATTTAATATCATTATAACCTTTCATGTTTTGTGAAAATATAGTGTATCTCCAAAGTGACGTGTAATATTAATAAAAATTTTCTTTTTTTTTGAGAGCAAATCCTTGCACACTTTTCAATGGAGTGTTAGTCATCTCGCTGCATATTAATTATTACAAATAATATAGCGAAAAATTTCGCCTTTCTTTTTTATTTTTGTGTGAAGTTGTTATTTAGCTTGCAATTAAAAAAAAATAATGTGAAACGAATTAGGGGGACAGTTGTGTCGCCTCGGATTTTTTTGTTTAATTCAATAATTATGTAGGTACGTAGGAACCTTTTTTTTTTGAGAAATAATACGCAACATAACTTGTTTTTTATTTGTCTCGGTTTTGGGACCTCGAGTTGTGGGTTCCACGAAAAAAACTTACAAATCTCTGAGAGAACAGCTCTGCACTGTCAAATTATCTTATTTTACAATTGGTGCCCCTCAGATTCCTTCTAACACTGACTGTCTCGAGTTAGCTCATAGAGGCATTGTATATCCTTTTAGGAATAAGTTGTTTCTCTTGACGTTTTGTTTGTTTCGACAAAAATAACACAGGTCAACATTTGATATAAGCGGGAACACCGTAATCGGTATAGGCTACTAGGAGTTTTTGGGGTCGCTGATTACGATGAGAGGGTCAGTTAACCTCCATCACGTCAGGTTCAAGGTCATTTGAAGGTCAAATGCAGAACAAGCCATGAAAAAATCTGAAAAAAATCATGGATATGTTTTTGAGGTCGGACAATCCGAATCTGAGGTCAGCTAAGCTCCACAAGGTCAAGGTCATTTGAAGGTCAAATGCAGAAAAAGCCATGGAAAAGTCTGAAAAAAATCATGGATATGTTTTTGAGGTCGGAGAATCCAAATCTGAGGTCAGCTAAGCTCCACAAGGTCAAGGTCAAGGTATTAGAAGGTCAAGTTCAAAAGAAAATTTTTAACCGATAACATTTTTTAGTTGTTATTCTTCATGTTTTTTATATAAACCCTTACTTCTTACTTGTGTCTATATATTTGCATATATAAGCAACTGTTCTACAAGATTTATACTCATTTCACGCACTTTCGCTCGAAATGTGGAACTCACTCACTCATATATCACAGATAAGTAACAAAACTACCTAAAGTACTTTCGCTTGAATCATCGCGCTTATTCAGTTACATATCACTGATCCGACAATAATACCGTAAAATCAGTATATCGAAGAACATTTTCTGCGCGTTATATGTGGCTACCGTTCTATCTCGTATGAGGTTACATGCTTACTAGCAGAAGAGGCATCTATATAGCTACTAGTAAAAGAAATAACAAACAATTTCCGTTGAAAGCAACCAAACTATCAAAATGGAGATATCCTAGGAAAAGAAGAAAAGACCCAGACCATGAATCTATGGCAAATAGGATGAAAGGAATCACCTAATGGAAGAGGGATGCACCGATTGATTAAAGTTATCGGTAGCTGGATTCATCTTAATCCAGCATCATTTTTTCAGATTTTTTCAAAAATTACTTCATCCCTTAACCTTGACCTTTTGGAACTTCAAAGACCTCAGATTCAGATTTCCTGACCCCAAAAACATAAGTATGATTTTTTTCACATTTTATCATGTCTTTTTCTGCATTTCACCTCTAAATAACCTTGACCTTGACCTTGTGGAGCTTAGCTGACCTCAGATTCGGATTGTCCGACCTCAAAAACATATCCATGATTTTTTTCAGATTTTTTCATGGCTTTTTCTGCATTTGACCTTCAAATAACCTTGAACCTGACGTGATAGAGGTTAACTGACCCTCTCATCGTAATCAGCGACCCCAAAAACCCCTTGTAGCCTATACCGATTACGGTGTTCCCGCTTAGATCAAATGTTGACCTGTGTAATTAGTCCTGATAGTTTTTCAATCTGTTCATCAAAATAGTTTAAAAAATAGGCAATTACAAATAAAAGTCGATATGTCTAAGGTTTCCCAAAACCAATGGTTAATCGTACTTATACGTTACTTTGTGAAAGCACTGTATATTCCATATTGTTTGTTATCTAGATCTAGATGGTCTGAAATTATTTATATGTGGCATAGTTTTTGATTTTTCTATTTATTAGTTATTTTGTCACATCTGAATAAATTAAACAATTAATTAAATAAACTCTTGTGTTTATACGCATTCTACTTGTACTAATAATAATTCCTACAATACTAAGTTGTGATTATATGAAATAATTTTGCAAAAACTCTTCTTATAATATTCAACTTAAAATATCTTTATAACCTACAAACCGGTAGTATTTAACAATTTACTTCTATGCCAAAAAAAGAAAACGGTTAGTATTATACATTTTATATTTAAATTGCATAGAATGTTTATATCAAAATATTTGATACATCACTATCATCAAAAAAACTTTATCTCTTTTACGTCTACTTTCCAAATTTTCGTTTATTGGGAAGCAACACAATAAATTTCATCAATTCTCAGTTAAGTAAAATAATAAATATCGTGCTGATTCCTCTCACTAACAGGAACTTCGATTCCTGAGATTTATTACAAACTTTCGATGTCTATAAATCTCCCTGTATTCCGCCTCATTTCAAATACCCAATCCTGATCGCTATTTATATTTTTCTTTGTTCCAGGCCGTATCTGACGATATGCTAGTGGAGCTGAAGGCATGCTTCATGGAAGCTTACGATGATAACCAAGACGGAAAAATTGATATTCGAGAGGTTCGCTATAAATTGAATTTTACTCATTTAATTGTAATTTTCATCCAATACTTCGTTCCTCATCGTTGAAAGAATTATATTTGGACACCTGTAATAAAATTATAGTTAATTTGATAACGGGTCATCTAAATAAAGTAAAAAAAATAATTAAAACTATTATGACCGTTAATAGAAAGAAACCAAAAAAATAGCTACCATTCGTTTTTCGTAAAACTAATAATTCTATAAAACTCAATACAAGTTCAGGTCAGACGTACAAGAAGAGAGCGACAATTAATTATTTTAAGTGTTAGTGTGATATAAGCTATAAGGCATATGTCAAATGATATAGAATGTAGAGCGTATACGTATAGAGTGTATTTAACCAAGTTACAAATGCATTACATTCGCCCTNCCGTTAATAGAAAGAAACCAAAAAAATAGCTACCATTCGTTTTTCGTAAAACTAATAATTCTATAAAACTCAATACAAGTTCAGGTCAGACGTACAAGAAGAGAGCGACAATTAATTATTTTAAGTGTTAGTGTGATATAAGCTATAAGGCATATGTCAAATGATATAGAATGTAGAGCGTATACGTATAGAGTGTATTTAACCAAGTTACAAATGCATTACATTCGCCCTTCTTATCACGTAGAGGCGTATAATCCAAGAAATGGATATACCTACACATACGCCTTTACGTGATAATAGGGACGATATGTTTGGCAAGCCACTCAAAAGAGTATGTTTAACATCTACTACATTAAGTTCAATATTAAATTATTCATTATTACCAAGATGTACACAAAAAAGAAATAATTATTATTATAAAACCACGAACAATATAGCTTATCGCTCCAGATCGCGTGTTAAGTGCTGCAAATTGACAACCTAAAAAGGGTGCAGGGTCTTTTTATCTGGCATCCAGCAATATTTAGCGTGGTAACTCTTCTACTTGGTAATAGGAGGCAGTTCTAGCGGTGGCTTTTGCCAAGTATTAACTGGACATACAAATAATGCATTTAACTATGTAATTGAAGAGTTATATGTAACTTATCTTTTGTTTGGAAATGGCATTTGTGTTAAATTCTAAATACCTAAAATAAACCAAATTAGAATTAAAACTATGAATTTAATCAGAATAACCGATTTTAATTTAAAAAATTATAATAGAATAGAAATAGAATAGAAAATTAAAATTCTGATGAAGAAAAATAAAAAATAATTAAACTATATTATTCAAATAACAATAATGTGCAAGAGTTCGACAGGAATATCGGCAAATTTAATTGGGATGAAGAATCCCGTCTACGAACACTAAGAATTATTATTAGAAATCTTAGGTGGCCAAATAACAGTCCCGATCTCAGTTCCTTTAAATATATTTTTGTGGGGAAACTTCAACAAAATATATTATTAAAGACCTCAAAATTTACTTGAGAGAAAAAAAAAAGGACGAAACGTTTGATAATTCTGAATTTATTTTTAAGGCAATAAATAGTAAATTAAAGCATATTTCCAACTGTATCATCACGATTACGAGAAAATTTGCAAAAATTGGTAGGTATTTTAATGTTATTTCGTTTTTAGGTATTCTCCTTATGTTGTTGTAAAGGTTAGTTATAAAAATTGGTATTTTTTATTTCAATAAGGATGTATTTTAATTTTGTTTGACGATTTTTTACTTTAAACATATATTTTTCTTCAAGCGTATAATAATACTTATATTATATAGTGCAACACCTCCTTTAGAAGCAGCCTATTGTTTAACTAGTACAAATATTTTTCATTTTTTAACTAGTAAAAAAATGTAACAATGTGTAGGTAAGTATCCTAGCAACGAATTAAAGATTCAAGAAGCTTTGACGTTTCATTAAGTGTCAGTTGAAATTTGATGTCGCGTCGGGTCGTTTTTAAAATGTCTGAAGAAATGCAGTGCACACCACCAGAATTACTGGAAATTGCAAATACATCAGTGGCAACACTTATACCAACAAAGTCGAGAAAAATTTATGAAAATGCTTATGATAAATTCATAAATTGGGCAAAAGAAAATAATGCACATATTTATTCAGAAAATGTGATGATAGCATATTTTACAAGATTATCCAGAACACTGAAAAGTTNAGTTCGTATTGACAGGGTAGTTTCCGGTGGCAACAAAGGGCGGCAATAGTTTTTGTAAATGGCTATAAATGAAACGTAAACTTTTTAAATCAAATTTAACGTGGCTTTTTAAGCTTGATTGGAGATATAAGTTATGACAGTTTTAAGGGTTGTTGACAGGGTGTCTTCCAATAGTGACAAAAGGTCCGAATATTTTTTAAAAATCAGTATAAAAGTAATGTTAACAACCTATGTCAAATATAGGGTGGTACGGGGCTAATTTTCTAAAATACATGTAACTAAGTTTTAAGGGTGGTTAATATGTGGGGTGGCTTCTGATGATGGGGAAGTGTTGTTTTCGTCTACAGAAGCCAGAATATAGGTGGTAAAATCATTTTAAGTACGATTAAACGTGATATTATGGGTTTTCATTTTCGTTCAAACGAACGTTCGGAACTTCAGGTACATGTTTACATTCTATAGTTGCAGAAATATTTATTTTATATAAATTCCCAAGAAACACGCATTAATGTAAATCACTTTTGCTAGATGTAGAGAACTGTACTACTCCAGTAAATATGAACATCGCATTCGTTATGTACAATAGTCTTGGAAATATTATTTAGCTTTTAATCTACTTTTCACATCAAAAAAAAATATATGAAAATGCCATAATTATTAGTCAGTGTGCGCAAAAATATGATTCCACCTCTGGTTTCCATCATTTGATCTGACATTTTTCTGTATCTCCAGTTCATTATTCGACGCAACATCATTCATCGGAAAAGCGTACATTCAGAATAGAATCAACAGTTGTGTAATGCCCTTGTTTTATGTTACATACAATAAAGCGCATCTGGAAAGCTAAATCTGTTCCTTTGTGAAATGACGTACATGGCACATCAATATCTGTTAACCTAATGCGAAATCGATTTCCAGCTTGCTCAGTTGCTGCCTATGGAGGAAAACTTTTTGCTGCTCTTCCGATTTGACAATCCTCTGGAGTCGAGCGTTGAGTTTATGAAGGTAAGATTTTGTCCCAAATATTTCGTTTTTATGTAAATGTTAGGAAATATTGCTTTTCGTATTTGAATATTTTAACATAAATTCTTCTATGTACGATATTTTTTATTCCATCGCTGTGAGCGTCGCAAAACTGTTTAATTTTGATAGCATTTCACACTTAATGTAAAGTTGAATACCTACTCAGTAAATGAGGAAAAAATCGAGTCTACAAAATTCCATAAACAAAACTTTTCTGTTTTTACGGGTAAATAATATTTTGAAAAATAAATAACAACATTCACATTTATAATAATTTTGTTTTATTTTTATTTTAAAATAATCCTTAAAATCTAATAATATCACTAGTAGGGCAGTACTCATCCTTTATTAAAACTGTTTGAATAAAAATGTTACATTCTGTTTTCTGTGGATACTTAATATTCTATATCTTTTTCTTTCGGACAATGGAAAAAATAATTTTGCTTCTTAAATTTGTAGTACCATCTGTTCCATGTTTTTTCTCGAATCTCAATTACCATCTGCAAAAAGCAATAAGTTATCACTTGCGGACTATGCATTTGGTATAATACTATTTACGTACAATTTTGTACTTGTTACTGCAGAATAAACTGGATGACTATTCTAAAAGCTTTCCAGTTATTGATCCGAGGTTGAAGCTCGTTGTTTTTGTACTGTATTCAACTCACGTACCTATTATTTCAGATCTGGAGGGAGTACGACACCGACGGAAGCGGCTACATAGAGGCAGACGAATTAAAGGTAAGTTGGCGACTTGCCACTTTCAGTTATTCCTTACGAATTTCTATACCTTCCAGAACTTCCTGAGGGATCTGCTCAAGGAGGCCAAGAAAATCAACGACGTCTCCGAGGACAAGCTAATCGAATATACGGACACAATGGTAAGTTTAAAAAGTTTTTTAGGTCCTTGTAAAGTTTCGAGTTTGAATTGTTTTGCAGTTGCAAGTCTTCGATTCCAACAAGGACGGACGGCTACAACTTTCCGAAATGGCAAAGTAAGTTTGAATGTATCATTGCTTTTAGAATGGGAATAATTTATTTGAACTAAATCGACTATAAATTTCAAAACATTAGAAATTAATATTCTCTTTTAATGCTATAAGAATTACTTCTCAGTAGTTTTAATTTGTAATTATAGTAAGGTAGTTTCCGATTTCCAGAATTTTCAATAGTTTTGTTCAAATAAAGAGTACAAAATATTTCATCTAGAAACTACAGTAACAGATGAATTTGGATTGAAATGAATTTTCATTATAGTAGCTGTAAATACAAATACACAATTGATCCTATGATTTCCGTAGATATTCACATCTAGAAAAAGGAAGTCCCCCTATTCATTTGAGAAGCGAATTCGAACAATTTTTTGAACTCACCATAGTTAAAGAATCGGTCTAAATGTGTTTCTTAAAAATGACTGTATCCTCCTTAAAATTAAAAAAAAAACAACGATATAATATGAAAACAATGGGTCCCTAACAATTCAAATATTAACCACCAAAATTATTATCTGACTTTCGTCGTTTAATTTTGTCTTGAAAATAAATGAAAAATCGGAATCAGCACTGATCATATATCGTTGTTTCTTCTATCTAAGGAAAACTTGTCTACGTCCCGTGACTCGTGTCTATAGCATAAGGTCGCATTCCTTGGATAATTTTAACTCAAAAGTCCAAAATTCACTAGTTAAGGAGTTATGGGTTATATTAAATTTAACAGTAAATAAATCTGGTAAAGAGCATGTTGAATAAAGTAATGTATTGTTTTATTAATTACGAATTTTTTTATTGCTAACAGAAATTTAATTAAAGGTTTGGTTGAAAATGTCCCCCCGTTGCCTAACAACACGTTCTTGCTCTTCTAATAATTGGAGACGTATCTAGGTCATTTCGTATGAATGCAGATGCAGCCATAATATTTTGAATTAGCTCATCTCTGCTTTGTGGTTTAATTGAATACACTAGACTTTTTATGTGTCCCCAAAGATAATAGTCAAGAGGCAGTAGGTCTGGCGACCTCGAAGGACAGAGAACTGGACCTCCTCTTCCAATCCAATCCACACAACATTAACAAAGTTGTTATTTAGATATTCTCTCACATTTACACCAAAATGCGGTGGTGAGCCATCGTGCTGAACCCACATGTTAACTTTATTCTGAAGTAAAACATCCTCCATTAATCCTGGCAACACATTTTGTAAAAAATTTAGGTAATGCTCTGATGTTAAACGTTCTTGAAATACGAATGGCCCAATTAGAAGGTTATTAAGAACACCACACCAAATATTCACCGAAAAGCGATGTTAAAAATGCGTGTCCTTGATTTCTAAAGGGTTCTTAAGTGTCCATGAATGTGAATTTCTGGTATTCGTAATTCCATCTCTATTAAACGTGGCTTCATCCGTAAACATAATTTGTCCACGAAGCTGAGGGTGTGCAATCAACCAACAACAAAAGTCTACACGCCCTGCATAGTCTGCTTGTTGTAAATGTTGAACACTAACATAAACGCGATTAGATATTCTTCATATACTAGTAGGTAGACGACTATTTTCGATCATGTTAAGAATACCTTCTTCTTCGGCAAGTTCTTGCTGCACGGGACGTTCTGTAGTAACTTTAGGAACCATACCTGTTTCTGTCAACTGACGATGCACATTTATGAACACTTGCTTATTAGGTATTCTTCGATCAGGAAACCTCTGATGATATTCCCGTACTTAGGCTCTCTCATTTCCGTTACAGTATCCATAAATAAAGTGAATATCAGCATATTCTTGATTTGAAATCGTAGCCATGTCAAATTAGTCTTAAAATTACAACGTCAAAGAATAAACAATGTCACCATAACAATATGACAAAACAATTACATAGCCCACCTCACTTCTTAAATACTGAGTTTTCGACTTAAGATTGTTCAAGGAATACGACCTTAAGCTATAGCCATCGACTCACGGGACACACTGTATAAAAACTGTAATAATTATAAAATGAATTATGTATTTTACTGCCCTTATGACTTTTACAACCACACCAAACTATTTAAATACATCGCAAGTTCAGCGTATTGGTTAAAAATAACATTAGTTCGAGAACAACAATATTGTCTAAAGCTGTAGGTATTAATGACGCCCTCGCAAAAACATGCTTGGCTGCTTGAATAAGTAAATATAAAATTAAATATTATTGGGTGGCAAACTAAACAGGAGATAAAATAAACTCTTGCTTAAACAAATAAATTTAAAAATAAATTAATGATAAATGTTATTTTTCTTTAAGTACCTACACCTAAGTCTGAAAAGTTAAATAATAGTATATTACGTAATAAGTGTTGTAAAAAGCATTTTACGTACGAATGGAAAAGTTACGCACGACGCCGCGTAGCGGCGAGTGCGTAATTCTATGAGTGCGTAATTGCATTACACCACGTATTACGTACTATACTTTACCTACGACCACTACTTTAAATACTTAAAAACACACCATCTGCGATCAATGCAAGATTCCTATTACGTGGTACGGTAAAAAAATCGCACAGCTTGGTAAATAAATCGTACAGTTTTCCTAGCAACCGCCTAGCAACGGTCAATACAAACATTATTGTATTGACCGTTGCTAGGTGGTCTCTAGGAAAACTGCGATTTTTTTACCGTACGTAATAGGAATCTTACATTGATCGCAGACTGTGTGTTTTTAAGTATTTACAGTAGTGGTCGTAGGTAAATACCATGTTTATGAAGCTTACATAGAAAATATAATAGTGTACTGCTAATACTGATACTCCCCCTGAAATATCTTCAATGCAACAGGATTTTCCGAAAAACAGGTCGATTTTGCTTTTAAGGGGGACATCTTTTGATCATAAATTCATTGATGTAGTGGCACATAATTTTAAAAGTATTTCAATTCCTTTTACAAACATGCTGAAATTTTTTTGTTCTGCCTTAAAATTAATGTAAAAAACCTGTTGGAAGTGTCGGTGAAATAAATCGAAAAAAAAAGTTTTCAAACAAGTTTTACCCATTTACTTCCATTCAGTGATAAAACCTTTGTTCAACATTTTCCCGAATATTTTGTAGCATTTCAGGGGTTATTTCATTACATGCTGCTTCGGTGGCGATGATCTAAAGAGGTAGGCTGTAGGTTTCGTTTTATAAATAACACTTTTTAAATGACCCTACAAGAAAAAGTCCAATGGTGTTACATCAGGCGATCTTGGAGGCCACTCAGTGAAACCCTTTCTACCAATCCAGTGTTCGTAAGAACGTTGATTCAAAAAGTCACGTACATCAGCTGCATAGTGCGGCGGAGCACCATCCTGTTGAAAAAATACATCATTCTTTGGGATCTGATCGTCGTTTTCAAGAATCTTCATAATGCGAGGGTCCTGAAGCAAATTGAAGTAAAATTCACCCATCAAGTTATCAAGTAGAAAAAATGGACCAACAATATTATTTCCCAAAATCCCAGCCCATACATTCAACTTTTCTGGATACTATGAATGTTGTTCTCTTATAACTTCAGGATTTGAATCACTCCAGTAATTGCAATTAAATTCATTAAAAATTCTTGCAGTTACCCGAGCCATTTCATTATTTCGAAAATAGAGAGTGACAATTTTAATTCTCTTTGCAGTGATGTAAACCATAGTAATTTGAATCGTCTGCTTCAAAATAGCGAATAATAACAAGTCAATGGATTTCACTACCTAGACAATTATTGTGATTGATGTAAAATCGGAACAAAATTACATGTACAATTCTTTCAAAACTTTAATGATAAACCTCATTTTTACAGTTTTTTTTATTACTATTTTATAGTCCAGTTGGACGCGACTTTTTGTTTCGGCAAGCTGAATTTATCACTATAGATGTTAAATATTATGTACAATAACATATTAGTCTCCACAATCATAAAAATGGGGAGAAGATTGTTTGCAGGGTGGTTAATTGTACCTATAATTTTTACGTAAATTCACGTTTTTCACTTATAACTTTGTTCCATTAATTTCCACGAGAAAATAGTAAAGTACTTTTTTTGACATACTAGCCATCGAGCGTCAAAAAATATTGGTTAGATAAAAGTTATAAACAGAAGAAGTTTATTTATGATTTTTGAATTAAACATTTATAAACTGCGTTATTATTACAAGTTATGGCCTTATAAACAAATTAACTAATTATTATTAGTCTGGACGATCCCGAGGATCTTCCACAATCGCACTGATTTTTTTCATGGTAGATTTCATAATAATACACTGAAATCTATCATTTTTATTTTAATTTCAAATTTGCAACCTGGAATTTTTTTTTATTTTTTAGCCTTAGTTGCAAAATGACGACGCACGAGCGTGATATAATTATATATTATTACATATTCGGAAAGCTATATGAATAGTGCTTTAAGTTAAAAAAAAATCATCAATATTCGTTGAAAAACAACGGATATTGTTCAAAGAACACATATTGTAAACAGATTTATTTTGACGCTTCACAACCTCTTTAGACCTATGTAAATAAAGATTTTATTATGAATATTATTATTCTCGGTGTTTTTAAAAGTAGCACTATGATATTAATGAATCTAGAATTAACAATAAGATGACAATTTAACATACCTTTATCTAAAGTAGCTTCGGTTATTATTATTAAAATGTAACATAAGTGGGACGGTATCTTCATAACTCAATGCTTTTTCTTTAAAACCGGTTATTCTATAGATAACACATAACTATACCTTTTCTACCTAAAAAAAAATATGAAAATCTTATAAACGACCATAAAAGATCAAAAAGTAGGACTATAAATCATTTAGGGGCCAAAACTGCCGAAGATACTCTGCCCCCAAGCGTTTGAAATAACTATTTATCTTTAAGTTAGATACATTAACATAAATAATTGGTTCAAATAACTTGGCCTGGCAGTGTCCCGTCATTTTTCAGTCATCTCTAATTTCTTATTAAATACATTTTAATAGCACTATTAAAATAATTTTAAGAA